TCCTGCTTAGCGGCTTAACCGTAACCATAACCATAAAGTTCTAATGATAATCAGGATCGCGCTGCCCATTGCATCGAGCGGGGTGGGTAATTATAAGTGGGCTACTGCACAGACATTCCAACCATTGTTTAATTTTTTGTCTGCTGTATCCAGCCCTCTTGCGTTGATCCTTCTTCCGACTCGTAACAATCCACCCGAAAACTTGTTTACCACACTCCGAAGATCACTATCAAGTAGTGCAGCAAGTAGTTTATAACCAAATAATTTTCATATTCTGACAACTCGTTAATCACTTAATCCGGAGACCCTCAGCGTGAGGACACTGATGCAGGTGAATCTACGAGCGTGTCTTACGTGTATAATGAGCTCTTTGGAAATTGATATATGTTGTGTGTCGCAGACACAAATTCTAATTATTATCCTAATTATGTAAGTCACCTGAGTGCATCGAATCTGTCCTCGAGATATTTCCTTCGCACATCAGGAAACGTTGAAGCCCCCCTTTTCGACTAGGTTAGCGTGGAGTAGAAATCGCACCAAAGGAGAAAGCTGAGGATTCATCGATAGATTGGATACCCGTCGATAGTAATTTGTGCGGAATGATGCTCCACGGTTCATTTAGTGTTCGGAAAGGAAGTAACACGAAAAGGTGTTTGTTTTTATTTCATCGTTGTCTGCACCAACTATACAGTCTCAATTCACAAAAGGACAAATTTTACGACAAACTAGCCGAACTGATTCGGTTGAGCCGCAACTCTGATATTATAGTGCTGGCAGGAGATTTTACTGCATTGTTAGAAAACTGAGCGCATCCAAAGCTTGTCTAAGGGAGCGCTTCGCTCTGTCCGCTCAGCGAACATACAAGGGTGATCGACTACCTCAGTTGTGCTCGAATCATCGATTGTTCTTATCTAGCACCAACTTTCTAGACAGCTCTCGGAGGGCATCATGGTGTTCTGGTCCAACGGATGAGTTTATCTTAATTAACCACGTAACTGAAAGCTACGGTTGGTATGTCTCAGTACAGCATTGCGGATCCTATTGGACTGCCTGCGTTGTCTAATCACGCACTAGTTCTGATGCGCTTCATAGCTGGACTCGTCGGTCATCGGCAAAAACCGCCTCCTCAGTTAGCTCATCATCGTCTGCACGATCCATCTCTTATGAGGAGATGGACCAAACGCGAAAGATCCCCGTTTGCCAGGATCGTCATAGAAATCCGTGGCGTCTGCAACGTCAGCTCAGGAAAAACCTTGAGAAAGATCGCGAAANTTGACCAAATTAGATAATGAAATGCAGGTTGCTTCTGTATCGGAGTAGTCAATGACTGTTTTAGCTGATACGCACCATGGGAAATCGTCACATACCGGTCAGTGATGCCATTTGCGATAAATGTGGACAGAGCATCCACAATAAAGAACTACGACCTGATCGCTGGGCAGAGTATTTTAGTGAACAGTTCAATTGGCCCAGTGTTAATGCGGTCATTCTAGCTGTTGCAGTGGAAACCCCGCGGCTGTTTACCTGTGAGCCCCCATCACAATTGGAAATACGAAGCTGTATTAATGAAAGGGAAGTCAACGGGGCCTGATGGGTTTCTCCTATTCTTTTTAGGCTTTGGGTGATTCTCTCGTCGACTCGATTACTAGTTTACTTCGCAACATTTGATCGGAAGAGTATTTCTTCTTATCCTGGGGTGAATCGTTGATCGTTGCGATCTTCACGAAGGAATCACGAAAGGATTGCGGAAACCTTGGGATAAGTTTGGTTCCGATAATCTCTAAAATATTAACTTCTCTGATATTTCACCGCTTGACACTCTTAAGGGAAATGAATATCCGCGAACACCAAGCGGGATCCAGGTCAGACCAAATCTTCATCCTGCGTCAAGTCCTCGAATCGCTCCACACACATAGTCCACCAACAGTAGCAGTGTACCTGACCTGAAAGGAGCTTTCAATTCAGTTGGCTGGGAAGGGGTCTCGGTTTCGCAGTGGAGTTCTTGTCATTTCTTATTAGGTCAGAATGCTTGAACTGGTGCGTATGCACAGTTGAACCATGTACTCTGTGTGTTGACCATAGAGATTCACTTTCTTCTCCTTTCCCTGAAAAGACGCTCAATCCCTGACCACCTCACAATTTCACTTATCTTGTGCACATCATGGGTTTGGCAGAGATCAGCGAAGTTCACTTCACTTTATCTCGCTGAACAATGATGATAATGATGATGACTGCAATTAACCCGATCGAAACGTTACAGATTATTTCTAATCGCTTTTATGAGAATCGCGATGAAAAGTGTGAGTTGAGTGATCGATGCCATCCCCAAATTCCTGGTGTTTTACGTAATTGATTTAANTAATTGATTTAAAATTTTGTTCTGTATTTTTTTCGAAAGAAAGCCGTACCTTCATAGCTATTTCATCTGTTTGTAACCCGCTCTGTGTTAAAGGAACAAAAAAATACTTCACCATCGGAGCGAGGTGTTGAACTCTTAAATATGCTCAGAAAAAGTCTGTTTTTTAACGATATGCAACTGTCTGATTTCCTGTTTATAGATATTAGTAGAAATCGTGAATATTACTCTGGCCTAATGAGTAATTTCCTAGCTCATGGTAGAGTGATGTGATTTCATTTTGGAGATTGCTGTTCGTGTCCACTGATGAAACCCTTTTGCTTGCTTACAGACCATTAAACTCATGTTCCCAAAGTCTGCACTATACTACACTGCATGTAGTTCTTTTTGGGAGTATTAGCTTTCATTTCTGTTTTATCGACATAGCCGTTTCGTGATACTTCTAATTATTCCCGCTTTTATCCTCTTTTACAGGCTTCAAGAACTGAATGACAATATGGAAAAGGCAGATGCGCTGATTGGTGCACAGACTCTTTTCAACTCCAAGGTATGTAATCAACAAACTGGCTAGTTGCCGCTTTGATGCGGAGCGCACACAGCATACTCGAAGTCACTACACTGTCTCGTTTTAGCTGGCAGAGGTACGACAGGAACTCCAAGCACCGGGACTTCAGAGCAGTTTGAAGTCAAACCAGGCTGCCGCGGTCAGCAACGAAAGCACCACCACTAGTGCCCGGTTTAGTTCCGAAGTTATTCAAATTCTGATCAAGGCTGTGAATCTTTTACCAGCGGGCACACCTAAACGGTGAGTGATGTCAATCGTTTCCTTCCTCCGCTGCTTGCTTTGTTTAAGTGAATAGCATACGTGAACTAGTAATTGATCTAATTTGTCTACAGTAACTTTCTGATTACAAAGGTTCGAAAATCATTTCCCAAGGTCTCCTTCGGACGCTTCGCCATTTCCGTGATCCTGATGCTTTCCATTCTTGATTTATAGGTGGGAAGCTATTGCTGCCTATGTGAACCAACATGCGCCGGGCACGTCAATTACGGCAAAGGAAGCTCTTAAGCAAGCTAAAGCACTGAGCCAGGAAGGTAGGCCTTTTCTACAGTCAGTTCATATAGGATGCATTTCACCCTATTTTCACTTTGTCTTCCATCGCGCTTTCGAATTAAGTCTCATTTTTTTTTGTTTGAACCCTACGGGTTGTTTTGAAAGTTCACAGACTGTGAAGATAACCTGAAAACTGAAGTCTTCTGTTTCGATCTTCCATCACTTTTTGATCTGGTTGTACTATTGCCTGTATCGAACAATAAGTTAATCAAACAAGCAGCGTAAATGATGGGAAGCTTTTATCATGTGAATAGCTTTTAGGGTATCGCCATTTTCGGCTGCTTTTATGGTGATAGTCAATCAGAATGATAGTGTCAATAATAGTTATGTACTGTATACGAGTATGTTCACTCAGATTTCATTACGGATGGCTGCCATGGTATGCAAAAGCGTGTGCGGTCTGGGTAGCAGTGGTGGGATTAGTACTCAATCTACAAACCCGGTCCACTGCGACCACTGCTATTATTTCAATGGCTGATCGCAACCTCAGAGTTACTCTGTTTTGTGCGAATGGACCAAAGGACCCCCGCGTAAAATTGTTTCTTGCATCGTCACTATGTCGGCATAATGTATTTTTTCCAGTGGTTTTACTCTCAGTGGTTAAGCAACAGAGAGAAAGAGGGAAAAAGAAGTTTGCCACAGTTGCAGCCATATTTCACCTGGTTGCGAATCCAGAAGGTTGGTATGGTGTTTGCAAGTTCATTGAATTTATCGCACCGTCATGACATCGGACTGTGTGTGTGTGCATGCGTGCGTGCGTCGCAGCAGTTGAGTTGGCGCTGCTATGTGGTGGAAAGACTTGGCCGTACTCATATACATTATATTTCACAAATGTCTGACGCCAGACTGTGTGCCAAACAAGTCATGCTTCAATAATCTTTTATTAAAAAAATGTTCCATGATTTGTATGCGGGCTGAATACTGCTAAGTTGCCCAGGCCAACGCAGGTGAATTTTTTTTGAGGAATCCACAACCGGAGTCTTCGGCTAGCCAAAGCCTGACCCGCAAGGCAGTGGGGCGGTGTATGAAAACCGCANAAAACCGCAGTCCTTTGGGGGCCGGTGTTGAGTTCATCGGATCCACCTCCTTAGATTACTATGGTTGCAGTGTTTGTTACGCACTTCATCAGATAGGCCTTCTCGGCGTTCAATGTTTACGCGCGTAGCCAGTAGGTAGAAAAAAATCAACGGTGGTTACATTAAGACCTGGTATAAAGTTATAATAATCCTGACCCTAGGGCTGTCGGTCACAGTTGGCATAAGGTTGAAGATAACGTGATTAGCTTTATTAGTGGTTTGACCCACTAAGTAGTACGACTGTCGTAAACAGTTGTGCTCGTGCATCGGCTCAATATCCTTGCATTCTTAGTCTACCTGAATCTCTTTCTTTGCCTTGAAACTGCTCCCAGCTGCGTACTACTTCCCTCCAGATTTTTATGCAAATAAGCAGCCGAAAGACAGTAACTGGAACCCCCTGCACCGTCGTGCAAGGTTATCAGCTGCTTAAATTGATGCAGATACCCACTGAATTGCAGAACTGGTGAATTTCGAGCTCAACGGGATTTGTTTTACATTGCCTTAATGCGCCGCCATACTTTTGAACCGTCCACTGAGCTTAAAACGACGAGTCCGAATAGTCCAATTGGATAGAGCATCTGACTTGCAATCCTTTCAGTCTCGCTGCGAACTACTCTCTGTTCGATGGATATCTATTACTGATCATTCCGAACAAGAACGGATAAAATAGTTGTAGTGTTTCCAAGACTGTCACATTCGATTTATATTGTTCACACTACTTGAGCGACCAATTGCTCTGTCTTGTCATGCTATCTTCTGTCATGTAACTCACGTCATCAATATTCTGCATGTTGTTTTGTAGACGCGACATTACGTAAAGAGGCGAATGCCAAGGCGTTTGCCTCGTTCGCGAGTACCGTGAAGGAGACAGATGCGGTGAAGAATGTCACCATAACAAACGAAATAGAAGGTAAGTTCCGAAGTAAACACAGCACAAAATACATTCGCTGACAAGAAATTTCCTCCGGGCTGCCCTGATTCCAAAACCATTTCTGTCTTTGTTGATATTTGGTCCTGTTTAGTGAACTTGACAGTCCTACCGTCCAAGAGAACGATCATCGTGTTTCGTTTCTTTCACTTTTTGTCATTTTTCGTTTCAGAATCCGTTCTCAAACGGGTGCCGGCCGAAATTTCCCTTAGCCTTTTGAATGATGGCATCCATTGTTAAGAGATTTCGCGGCGTTTTGACACGTTTAAGAGCGCACATAGAAGCTTAAGGTGCTATTGTAGAAAACAGAGGGATTTTTCTACCTCCATTTGTATGAGGAAACATTCAACCGCTTCAGTCTCTAAAAACTCACCTTGTGCCCTGATTGACACCTATGTTATTCCAATCAATGAATAGAATTTTGCTATGCAACAGGGTACAAGACGCGATATCATGAACCAGCACTAGTCGCTCATCGAGAATGCTGTGCGTTCATTTGACCTAGTTAGTAGCGGTCTAACACCGTGTTGCTTCACCCCAGATTGCCGCTGAGTTTCATCATTTTCTTGTCGTACTCCGATCACTCCTGTCTGGTAGTGAGCATGATGAAACTCGGCTCGTTACGAGATGTAAACTGCATGCAAGCCCATACAGAGTTCGCCAGCTCTGTTGATTACAACGCATATCAGAGATGGAACGTTCTGCCACCAAAGGAAGCTCCCCTAAGCTGTTAAACTTCATCCAAGTCACCGATTTGAAAACGCTGAGTGTGATCAAAACGATATGAGGCACAGTTCAGTCTAAGCCTCAGCTTCTCGCACATGTTTCGTGGTCTGTTTCAACATGCCCACTATATGAGGCGGAGATACAAGCTCTGGGACTGCACAAAGTGTCGGGCTCCGATGGCCTTCC